GTGAAATGAATGAAGAATTGTTCAATGCTTTCAATATTTTTTCCTGGCTCTCCCTCCCCTCCTACATATGTTCACGATCTCAGGCCCCACCCCAGAACAACTGACTCAGAACCTGCATTTTAACATGATTTCCCTGATACATAGAAAAAGCAAGGCCATAAATAACAAAATCACCACTTTCCTGTGGCCAAACTGATAAAAATTCCAAAATTGCTGAGCAGAACCCAAACTAATGCTGCATTCAAATTTCCAACAGTGGGTACTTTTGAGAAACAGAAAGAGCTAGAGTGGAATCAGGCGCTGGATTTGATCTCTCCTGCTGTCCTGCGCCCCACCCCCACCTCCCTCCCTTCCCCAGTTTTCTCTCTTTCATAATGAAATCACAGCCTATGGAGGAGCAGCACAGAATCCAGAGTCAACTTTTCTATGCTAATTGAGGTCCAGTTCAATGTTAAAGCCAGAGCTAACTAAAACATTTACAGCCACTCTCCTTGATTCACTCTCCTCTCTGCCTCTTTGCCCTCTCCACATGACCTCCTCATTCTTCCTTCTGCATCTCCAGAAAGGAAGAAGGGCTCAATATTTAATGAGGGGCTGACACATACAGGTGCCTAGGCTCCATATTTCTCAGTTCTCCTCATGCCAATGGGAGATACAGCCATGGGAAACAGGATGCGGAATCAGGTTCCATCAATCCCCACAAACACATTCTCCATTGCCATAACCATGGATCCTAATCGGAAGAAAATATGGTAGAGAAACAGAGACAAAGGGTCCACTGTGAGACCCTGAGAAGAAACTGTCAAGGGACACAATCATTTTTTTGTTCATTAGCTCCCATTCTAGACAACATTCCCAGGTCTTGCCCAAGCCCATTCTCAGCTTCAATCTCCAGAATTTTAAGTCCATCTGCACCTCTGATAATAAACCAGAGATGTTTATGTTAATTTCATAGTTTAGGACACTGGACATCTAATGAATGTAGCCTTCTCTCTTACTTACAGACTCTATCAGGCTTCTGACTCCACCTATCTCACTGTACCATGCCACAGAGAGGGGTCTTCGATGGGCAGCCCTGCACGGTGCCCCCACATCACAAGGATAGGAGCCCAAGGTCTGCATGCCCACAGATCCCTGCCAGCACATGCAAACTTGGCTGATTCCACTGATCAGAGGCATTCCATGGGATTTGACTGGATTTGCTGGGTGTCTTGTGTCTTTTGTGCAACTCACTGACTCCGTGAAAGCAAGCTGGGAAAAAAATAGCCTAAAACAGCCTTCTTAGACTGTCATTTGCCCAACATCCACAAAGATTCTGTAAGCACTTAAAGCCTTACATTAAATCCCTTCCTGCTTGAATTCCAAGAATAGTTTATTTTTTTCCTCACAAACCTCCACTAGGACAGCCAGAATGTCATAAACACACTCTTATCCCCAAGCTGATATTTTATCCTATACAACTTTCTCTATCAACGCAGCCGTATTTGTGAATATGTCCTTATTTGTCAACTTTTCCTTTACAGATTGACTTCTTTTCATAGCAGGGGCCATGATGTACTCTCTGTTATCAATATTCCTGGCACATAGCAGCTGCTTAATAAATAGGAGTTGACTGAATGGACTAAGCTCATTCTCTTTCCTAAATGTCATCTATTCACTTCCAGGATTCGTTCTGTTCAAGAAATGCAAGACTCAGGGTGGATCACTGAGATCAGATTGTTTTTGAGCACTGAAATCCCCATGTCTTAAGAGATTAAAGGGCAGGGTGGTGGTACAGGAGGAATTCAAGGAGAGATTGCTTTAGTGTTAAAGCTCTTGAAACATCTAGAGACACAACATTTCCCAGACCAGGGAACTTCTGTTTCCCAAAAGTTGACTTTGAGACCAAAAGATCCTAATAATTTTGTTGAATTTCCTCTTTTATGTCCATATATCAGCTCTGATTCTATCTCTGTTTCCTTTCCTTCCTAACAGTGCTTATTTTCATAGATTCTTCATTATCCTTCCTGCCCTTCATACATGCAAATACTAATGGTTTATGCTCTTGCAGAAGTACAATGATCAGAGATAGCTACCCATGTTTTTATATATTTGATCTTACAAGAATGTTTTTAAATTTTTCCTTTACCTTTCAGCCACATCCTACCTCACATAGAGATGATTCCATACACATCACACTCTTCTCCACATATATCCATGTATATAAATGCCTATGTATATCCTATATATAAAGGATTTCACATATGAAGAACATCTACGTATTGGGGGTAGAGTAAGTGAGTGTGTTGTGTGTGTGTATGTGTTTTCATATTCCATTAGAGGAGGAATGTATAACAGACAGTGTCTGATCACTGTGGACTTTGTTCTGAAAATGTTAGATGGATCAAAACTGTTAGGTTGGCAAAATGGTTTATCACTTTCTGCAAAGAAATAACAGCTGTGTGGTGGATCTGTGCATGAAGGACAACTCGCAGCCTTTTGAAGTTTGTGAGTCTTAAGTGAATTACAGAAAAAGCCAAGTATCTTAAGGGCTATGCTAACCACAGGCTGCCCATATCTCATGAATGCCTATGTGGAAAAATAATTTGATCAGAGATGTCTCCCACCAAAAGTTGGATAGATAACCTGTTAGAATCCAGAAACTTAGCATACCCTGAAACAAAATTAGATTGAAATTACCTCCTGATGGAATGAGCCCTTTTAAAACAGAAATCAATTTATTAAAATAAAACATCGTATCTTCTACATGCCAAATTTGTGGACTGAGATTCACATCTGCTTTAAAAAAAAATCAAGAATTCAGGTTGTGATCTAATTCTGAGTCCACAGTCACATGGATTATGGGCTTTCCAATGATTCCCCTCCTTTGGGAGCAAGGAGCATCTTAACCCTCAGTTGGCTGCAGCCAGGCCAATCTTGAAAGGGAATTACCAAGGAATAAGCAGTAGGAACAGAGGGCAGCCTGCTTTAAGGGACACACATAACACAAGTCAAAATCCAAGAGAGGAAAAATAATCAAGTCAAACTTTAGTAATCCATTAGTGAACTCTCACATTTATACTTAAAAAGATTCACAAGTTACTTCTGAACACAATACCATTCACTCCATGACACTGTTCAGAATGATTTACCCAACATTATCATTATCACATGCCTATAAAGGGTGCTATATTAGTCCCATTTCATGGATGAAGCTAGTGATGTACACAGGGAATATAGGATAAGAGGTAGTTCTGAGACTTAAATAAGTTTAACTGAAGAGCCCAGCTTGACCACCACATAACACTGCCTTTGCCCACCAAGAAAAAAAAAAAAAAAAAACACTCAAATCTCTCAGTAGTATAAGAAGAGATTATCAGGTCCACTTTTATCTCTAATAGGAAAAAGCAGCAAAGAAGGTGAAGAGATTTGCTGGGTGTCTCACAGCTCAGCATGTCACTTATCTTTGTTTCATGACAAAAAAAAAAAAGACTCATTGTCAGTCAGATTAATCAATGGGCTTTTAATGTCTCCTGAAAGACAAATCAAAAGTTTTAAACGTGGTATTTTATAAGCTTCCAAGATTTTTACCTAAACTTCTCTAATGCTATGGGACCCGCAGGACAAGATGCCAAGTGGTAGCCAAGGCTAAGTGGACCACCTCTTATGGATCATCCCCCAGGCATCGGGGGACAAGGCTGTGCCAGGAAGCCACTTTAGGAGCTCCAGGAAGGGGATCTGAGGGACTTCAGTGTAGTCATTTAAGTGTCAGGGAATTTGATGCCAAGCAAGTTTTTCGTTACTATTCTTGAAATACCTAGGATTAGAAACCTGTGTTTTGTAAACATGATCTTTATGCTGCTCTGTTTTTGCCCTATCCATTTCAAAACAAGGTTCCTATGGAAAATTCCTCTCCCCATCGTTTTATTTCCCCTTGCCATTGAGCAAGGACAAGCACAGTACATTTCTGTACTATTGACTAGCACGTCCAAAGTCCCTGTGACAAAGTTCTATTAGGAAACACAATATCTGCTTCTTTCCCCTGAGGAAGAATTATTTAATTGTGGGCAGATTTTTTTTTTTTTTAAAACTCTATCATGGGGGCAAGCAGTTGCAAAAAGAAGTATTATTTAGATCTCCAGGCATTCAGGAACCTTTCATCTTAATCCTCTTTGCTTTGGCTGTATTGACATATCCTGTCATTGATAAGCTCAGACCTGCATTATAACAACTGCTGGAATCCAAATCGGATGATATTTGAAATATATGTCACTTACTTGTTTCTAACCTTTTCAACCCTTACTCCAGTTTCCATCCTGAAAATACTCTCAACCAGCTTGCACAAAATAAGAATTATGATGTATGTGATGAATCTACCAACTTATAAAGACATCTTAAAAGTGGAAACAGAAACAAGAAAATAATTGAACTTGTGCTGAGAAGGCTGTTGACAAAACCCAAAGAAGCAAAGTAATTTAAGACAGACTTAACTTGGCTGGGCAGGAAGGAAAATGATATTAAAACTCTTGTTACCAGAGCCCTGAGTTGCTTTAAGGAGGAAAAAAAAAAAAGTGTTGTATATATGAAATGTAACACTATTGTCATTATCCGAGCTCTCTTTGTTAAATTAGGAAAGAAGTATTAGATTTGAACATTAAAGCAGAAGACTCAGACACAAGAAACACATGTTTAATTTATTTTAGACACCAACTTGATAATTCTAATAGATAGGTCAAATTGAAATTCAACATATCTCAACAACAACAAACAACAAAATAGACTTGTTGGTGTTATCCAGAAGACACACAATCACATTGAATCTCTTTTCTTTTTCCCATGAAAGAGCCTGGCTCTGGGAATTTGACATAACCAGGCAGACAATTAAGTTTACCATGGCTTTCAGACAAGTCATGGAATCAACTCTATAGCAAAAAAGAGGCTGTAAACTGAATCACCCCCGTCCTCTAAGTTTTTCTAGCACCTATCACTCTGATAGGTGCAAGTTTCGTTGTGGTACTTACTGCATTAAAATTGGGGAAGAGGTTGACTGCAGCCGCAGTGTCAAGAGGAAAGGGAAGAAATGGTTTAATATCCAGCGATGGTTGCAAAGGAGGGGCTGGTGGACGGACCAGGGCTGGGAGAGCAGGACTCTGGCATGTACCACCTGTGGAGATGAAAAGAAACAGAATGATCAGGGATATCAGGCATGGAAAAAGCACCACCATCTCTCCTGAGAGAAAAGAGGCCAGCTTCATGGATCACTGGAAAAAATAAAGACATGGAGTCTGCTGACCTCAGTTGGGAACTGGCCAGTGAGCAGTTCTGCCATTGGGCAGCAGGAGTATGTCAAGCTCTTCTTTTCTTTGGATTATAATTGTCTGGTTATGCAAGTGTTGGTCAATATTTCAAACTCTCCAACTCATTTTTCCTTTCCTGCCTAGAGCTCTGGAACAAGTCAGCAACAAATCCAAGATCTCTGAATTCAAAAAGAAACCCTCTCCATGGCTGGCTTGCCTGTCCCTCTTTGACCACTAACCTACTACTCAGAAGAGGCTTCAGATCTGAGAGGTTATTTCAGTAGAATTGCTCTTTTCCGCCAATGCAAAACTCTGGTAGTAAGATGACATGAATCTGGCACAAGAAAGAAACTTAACTGTGAACACTGTGAACACAGGCAAACATACCTTACTGCCCCAGCAACTGGAGGATTAAAAACCAACAAATCCAGTGCTAAAGGCTGAGCTGTTCAGCACCCCTGTAGCTCTCAGTATTCAACAACTGCCTGCCTCCACCACAGGCAGGAGTAGGTGGAATTTACATGGGCACCACTGAGTAGGCCATGTGAATATTATATCAACAAAGACACCCTCCTTGCCATACCAGTGGACAGCCAGCTGTTTGCAAGGTTGCATGCACCTTTGCCCCGTTTTAGGACTCCATGTCACTCAGAAGCTAGTAGGATGGAAGCTCAGCCTCCGTGTTCAGTCTCCCAAGTTTTGATAACATTCCAAAACATCAATTTGCTGTTAATTAAAGGCTGTTTGAATCCTAGGAAACTGTTAAAATATGCCAGCATTCTTCTAATCTGAGAGGCAAGCAACAGCCTGTATAAAAACCCGCTGGTGAGAATCCAAGAAGCATTAGGAAAACAAAATGCAGTGAGATTTTTCCTTCCCTCACAGAAAAGAACTCTAAGAGACTGGAGGGAGAGGACAAGGTCCTGTCTATGCCACTTACTGCCTGCCATCTTGTTTTTAAGACAAAGTCAAGGGAGGCCCCCATACTGATTGTCTTTCAAATTTCACAACCTGGCCCAGTGGACAGGGACCATCTTCTTGCCTTCAGTCAGTCACCTGAGCACAAAGTAAATATTCTGAAAGGACTCCCTATAGAGAAGCCTAGCCTTGCTGGGCAGAGGCTCTGATAACAAGGTGGATGACTTAAGACCTATAACAAAAGCCATCAGCTCAAGATTTAATTAACCATATACAAGAACCATCAGTTTCTCCTGCTTCCAGGTATAAAATCAGCTGGAGCCAAATTAACAAAAACAGTATTTTTTCCCTCACTGTTTTAACTTCCCTCTTGAAATATTCCTCAACCAGAGTAAGGCCAATGACTGAAGTGTGAATCAGCACACCAATTAAAAAAAATAAAATAAAACAAAAAACAGTACAAGGAAGGAAATGGAGGACAGATGTTAAAACAAACAGAGATAAAAGCAAAATACAGCAAGTCAACACTCTCTAGAGTACACTATAAACTTATTTTACTGTCCTCCTGGTAGCATAGTGAGTGTGGGTGCATGCCCTTTTCTAGCGAGGACATCTATAAAACTTGAGTCATGGAACTGTTGTGAATTTAGTATTGGCTTTTAAAAGTTTCTCTTTAATAAAAGTTAAACTAAATAACTTTTTGGTTGGTACTTCTTTTGAAGACTGAGGAAACAAGTTTTGGTTGAAATCAACAGTATGATTTAACATGTCCACAAATAGTGATCTTCAATAATTTTAAATTATTTTCACTTATGTCATGAATCAAAGAATATTAATATACATTTATTACCGTGATTTTTTAACATCCTCGAATTAGGTAAGGCTAACATCATAAAATATCATGTAGAGGAAGAAAAAAAGAAAAAAGGTAAACTCTTTACCTTTTTACACTGATTCCACAGAAACATTGCATACTTAAAATTATAAGAATTCATTTGAGCAGCAATATATTCAGTAATTATTTCATTTTAAGCTCATGCCCCTAGTTTACAATCTCCAAAGAAGTTAATGGTTAAAGCTTACTTTGTATGTAGCTCAATGTGAGGAAAAAAGAATTAAAATGTTGATTTAATTGCTAATTTAATCTACCTCTAGGGTAAATACTTAATTTATACCTATTCATATATTTCAAGGTCCTCTCTCAATGTTATAACTGGAATTTACTTCACTGGGGAAGAAAACATAAACAAGACTCACTTAACCTTGGAAAGTTGCAGGAAAACTACAGGAGCCTATCTTCTCTCACCCCTTTGAAGGGAGAAATTTAAAAGGCAATTACCTGTGGAACTTCCCCCATTGTTATGCAAATACAGGTGCAACACCTATGAGGTACTTCACAGAGCATCCCAGCCCCTAGCACTCATTCCTCAACTGCTTGGGGTGTTTGTTGGTGGCTGATAACCCTCACCCAAGGTAGACCTCCAGAGCAAATAGATTGCTGTCCCCAGGAAATGACAGGTGAGTGCAAACATTCAATAGCTTTGCCTTTCCCTCAAGGCAGGAAACTCAGAAGCCTCTAAAGCTCCTAGTACGATGAGTGGTCTAAGGCTCCTGCTTTGACTGTACCACAGTCCAGTTTCCCCTTGCTTCTTCAGTATCCCTAACTCCTCACAATGTTCTCCAAAGCACACCCCAGTAGAGTCTCAAGAGTCCACCTTCCAAAAGAACTTGATACGTGGCACCAAGGTATAACATTCATAAACTAAGTAAAATGCTGAATAGCTTTATTCTAAAATTGATGCTCACCTCCAAATCCATAGCAGTGATATGGAGGCACAAAATTGAAGCTAGCTCTTAAAAATTACTTGTAACTAACAGTGCACTTTTCAAATCTAGATCAGTCCTGAATTATTCTACTTGTATCAATCTATGCATACTCTGTAACAAGAACACTATTTGCAAGTAGTGCAAAAATCAAAACTGGCAAATGTGTTTCATCTGCAAAACAGATTAAACTATGCTCCTTCGGTAGATAGTTATTCTTTCCCTTAATTTTCTAAATAGAAACTTTTGTGTATAAGATAGGAATGTATATTATTTATTTCACAATTATAAACTTACTGGCAATAAACATGAACACCAAGTATAATGGTATTTCTACAGGTGAAGAGTTGTTCATGTTTGCCAACAGCATCATTCTCATAGAAATTTCACATTTCTAGAAATATTAATATTCTTTTTTTTTAAGAGAAATTTTTTTTTTTGGTAGATGGACACAACACAATGCCTTTATTTTTATGTGGTGCTGAGAATCGAACCTGGGTCCTGCTAGGGGAGCACTCCACCACTGAGCCACAATCCCAGCCCATTAATATTCTTAATTTTAAAATCCCCATGGGGCAGAGATTGAGACATACATAGAATCATGTATTTGTATCTGAAATGCTATGCCTAGCACCACATATTTCATTGCCTACGAATTTTAATTTATACAGCTTGAACAAAATAAATTGTAAACAATCTGATTTCAGAGTAGTTTCTATCTTTCTATACAGAATTTGTTAACACATTTAAAAAACATTAAAAGTCAACGAACCAAAAACATTTATGGAGTATAGAATACTTATTAACACTGAGTAAGCTGTTGGGTAACAAAAATTAAAAAGGTGAAGTACAGTGATTGTTAAAGCTCACTAAATTCTTCTCCCACCCTTTATGATGCCCATTTCTGTGAGTCTACATTTACAAGTTCAGTTGCAAAGAGTGAACTACAGAGCAAACATATCAGATTCACTTTAATGCATTCACAGGAAGCTGTATGTTCACCAAAGTATTATCAGTGAGATTGAAAAAAGTACTGGAGTAACCAAATCCTAAATATTTGTTAATAGATACCTATAATAAATATTTGTTAATTTATACCTATTCAATCTGGTAACAGATTGGTGACAGTGGTCCACTTCACCTTTGAATATAGCCCTTGCTGCTTATTTTTAAAGGGACTTGTTTTTCTTTTCCTCTTCTCCCACTCCCCCTCCCTAACCTGGGGGCAAGGAACAAGATTACTTTGAGTTATCTGTCCTTCACATAAAGGAGACTTCACTGGAAGATCTAGGAAGTGACTATCTCCCAAATTAACAAATTAACAAGCAACATGCTATCCAGGCTCACCTGGGACCCCTTGTCAGGACACATCTGGAATGTAGCCTTTGAATAGCTTCTTTAAAAGTTCTCTCTTTTCCCTGATGGGCAGAATCACAGCCTCTGGGACAGGAGTCCCCTGTGCTTCTCCTTTGCTGGCAAAGCAATAAAACTTCTTCTTCTTCTTTTATTTATTTATTTTTCCCCTCAAAACCTTGTCCTGATTTTTGGATTGGCATCAGGGACAAGGACTGAGGTTTAAGTAACATTCACTTTAGGAGTTTACATTTTCATAAAGCAAGTTTAAAACATAAATTCAAAAGTGTTCATTTTAATAATTTACACAGATAAATAGGAATTCTAAACCAGTGGTTGTGAGTTAAAGCTTACTATGTAAAAGAATATGAAGCACCTAGCACAGCTCCTGGCCAACAGATGCTCACTAAGTGAGGCATATCTTTTTTTAGTGAACATAATAGCCTCCCAGGAAGCTTGTTCAAGCCTTCTGAAAGCAGTCAATCAAGATACTTTTAAGAGTACCTTCAAATTCTTAACTTTGTTTATTTTGCTCCCCCAGAAGGGTGCTCCCACTAAGAGGTCCTCCAGAAAGAGGTCTGGGCTCTTCATAATGGGGCATGATTTAACCTTAAACTGCTGCACTGACCCAGAGTTCATAGAATAGTCCTGTCTGACAGCTGAACTTTAATCTTCATCTCAATTTCAACTTCCACCTATGATTTAACCTTTGATATCCCCAAATCATTAGGGCTTGCTGCCATTTAAAATTAACACCAGCATATGATTGGGT